AGTGGAGGAGAAAGGCAACACTGTCTGACTGTATTTTTAAGTTATTTTTGTGACTTATTACTTGATGTAGAGATTTGTATATAAAGAAAAATTAGTTATGGACCCTCTATTTCATACTCTATATATATATATAATATGTTTAGTGAGTTTTACTTATATTTTTTCTAAGAACTACTAGCTAGAAAGAATATTACATATTACAAATAGTTTACTAAAGCTACATGGTTCAACAACAAACATCAGATGATATTTGTGATACAAATAAAATTTGTTATATTCAACAACAACCTGTTTTCGATATATATATGTAACATAAAAAAATATCAACAAAAAAAAATAGAACAAATACAATTAAAACTACATATCAAAATTTGTTTTCTTTTGTCATCACTAAAATTGAATTGGTTTTATATGTGTGATGATAAAATGAATGGTTCGGCTGCAAGTATATAGTTATCAAAATTCATCATATAATATATCAAATTAAAGCTCTATCTTTCTAGTTTTCAAAGATTCAAACCGCTCATCAATTGGATTTGTATTGAGTACATTATGACCAATTTACTATTGATTGTTCAGTGGAAATCGAGAAACAAGAGAAACCGAAATGTGTGTGATGATAAAAGGAATGGTCGGAAGTGGGGCTAAATCTATCCAAATTAAGCATATAATATATCAAATTAAAGCCCTATCTGTCTAGTTTTTAAAGATTTAAAACTCTAATCAATTGAAGTTTTATTCAGCAAGTTATGGTCAATTTACTACTGATTGTTCAGTGGAAACTGAAATGTGTGATGATAAAAGGAATGGTTTGGAAGTGGGTCTAAAGTTATCCAAATTAAGCGTATAATATACCAAATTAAATCTCTGTCTGTCTCTTAAAGATTCAAACCTCTCATCAATTGGAGTTTTATTGAGCAAGTTATGGTCAATTTACTACTAACTGTTCAGTAGAAACCAAAATATGTGTAATGATAAAAAGAATGGTTCGGAAGTGAGGCTACAGTTATCCAAATTAAGCATATAATATATCAAATTAAAGCCATGTCTTTCTAGTTTTCAAAGATTCAAATCAATTATCAATTGGAGTTTTATTAAGAAAGTTATGGCTAATTTACTATTTACTGTTTAGTGGAAATCGAGAAACAGGGGAAATCAAAATGTGTGTGATGATAAAAGGAATGGTTCAGCAGTGGGGCTACAATTATCCAAATTAAGTGTGTAATATATCAAATTAAAGCTCTGTCTGTCTAGTTTCTAAATATTTAATCCTCTCATCAATTGGATTTTTATTGAGCAAGTTATGGTTAATTTACTATTAATTATTCAATGGAAACTGAAATACGTGTGATGATAAAATGAATGGTTTACTTAACCCAAATTTAAGAGATTATCATATTAGGACTGATAAGAAATATTTTAAATAACACCTATTAATTAAAAAACGGAATCAGCCAAAATTAATTCATTTAACATATATACTCGTACATCAATAGGATATAAACAATTAATTATTCATATAACAAATTAAAATACATGAATGTTTTTACAGAAAACATATTCAACACAAATGAACTGTTTCTACTAATATAGATATGATACATACTCACAGTTTGGCTGACAATAAGATCATCCTCGATTTGATCTTAGTAATGTACATGAATATTTCCTTGAAAACAAACATAACAAAATTTAATGGATCTTCATGTTAAGATTGTTAAGGAACAATTATTCATTAATCTTCATATAAAAATTGTTAAGGAATACACTTACCGTTCAGCAGGACTAACACAATTATCATTCAAATAGATTGACCGAACAAAAACAATCATTCAATTAAATAATAACCGTTAAAATAATTAGGAGATATACTTACGATTTCGTATTAAAATAGTTAAAAGATATACTTATAGTTCAGAAGAACGAATTAAAATAACAACTCATTTGACAATGTCAATCGGACATCCTACCTTTATTCCATGCCAATTCATGAATCTTTTATCGGTAAACAACAACAAAAACATAAATAAATAAAAAATCATCAATTAACAAAATCACGAAGAACAAACGTATTATTGACACAAACTAACATAACATATAAACAATTAATAAAAGACCATATGTATTGTTGACACTAACTAACATATTGCAATAATACACAACTAAATATACGCCCCTTTTATAACCCCTTATTTAGACCTTTCAAATGCCAACACAATTAAATACGAATTGAATACGAATAAAGGTTTGCAATATCAATACAATGTACCTATATAATTATTAATAGCAATCCTAGAATGATATCATTAAACCACAATTATTAATAGCAATCCAATGCATCTGTATACTTGTTATTAATGCACATCCAACGTGTCAAAATAGTTACAGCTTTGGAATGCCAATGCAATGCACCTATATTATTATTATTGGAATATCAATACAGTGCATTAATTTTTCATTAAACCACACATCCAACTTTGGAATACCAATGCAGCAATTAATATTGTCTACATCATCACTAATAAAATTCAATCACATGGCAATCATAAATCCAAAATGTTATTATGGTTAAACCTTTGGAATGTCAATGCAATGCACCTATATGATGATTAATATTATTGTTAATTATTAATAAAAAAATTATTAATTATTAATTATTAATACAAATTCAACATGTCAAGGTGGAGCAATAAATACAAATCCAATTTGTCAAGATGAAACAATTTGATTGGACTCATTAAACCATAATTCTTAGTTGTCAATCCAATGTGTCAAAATAGAACAATTTTAGAGCTTTCAAAATGTGACATGTGTTGATTAACCAAGATAGGTGTTATATATATGCAGTAAAACATCTATATAGTGATACTCTGTATAGGAATAAACTCTACATAGTCATAAAAAATTCTAGTCCCAATTTAGGATAGTTATAAATAAGAATAAACTTCATATTGTAATAAGTTATAATTTTTCTAATTCTCGTCTTAAGGAAAGTTGTCTCCACATAGTAATAATTATTTGTATATTACCAAAAAATATATGTTATGTTACATTAAAGGTTTAAGATGAAATAAAATATTTATCTAAAGTTGTCTTGAGACAGTGATTTATATTTTAGAGTTGTACCACATCTTTTACATTGCTAGTATGTAATAACTTGCTAGCATAGACACCTTCTTGTGAAGCTAAAATATTTTTAGTTTCTCAAGCATGTTAAAACTTCATGGTACGAAACTTTTTTTATTTCGTACTATATCTTTAGGATTATTTCATTTATCTTCTTGTCTAATTGTAGTAATGATTTCTTCTACAGTTAAAGCATACACGATTTATTTCTCATTTGAATGATCGAGGAAGACATTAAATCCATAGATTAGTGTAGTGAAATTGTCGAATCTGATCACTCAATTTGCAATGACTCTTTTATTTCTTGTCGAATAGATCACTCAATTTTGCAATGACTCTTATTTTCTTGTCTCTTCATTTGTAACTGCAATTCATCGAAATCAGGGGTCCTAATTTTGTAATGCTAAAACCATTGACAATTGTTGTTAGCTTACATCAATTGACCATACATCAACTGCATTATAGTTCCATCAAGGCACTTATCTTTGCTGATTCCAAGACACGGTCTTCTATCTATTTCAAAAGTAGGCAATTAAAGTGCTGAATTGAAATCTTAAACTACTAAATATGAATTGAATACTAATACTGTACTACAAAACATGAATTAAAAAATAAGAAATCAAAACTACAATTTTCGTAACTACTCATTCATTAAGTTATAACCTCCTTATAGAATAAATTAGTTAGTCTCACTATTAGACTATAGAAAGGTTTTACTGTAATATAAAATTTAGACTCGAGGATATTTTTGTTAAATTAAGCCAAAAAAAAAAAAAATATATATATATAAATATATATATATTCATTACTATTATCATTACAAGGAAACATTCTGGGTGCGTTTGGCTCCCATTTTTATCCATATTCCCAATCCTATTCTCCAAATAATGTTTGGCACACTATTCCAGAAATATTACCCATTTTTTTTTAATTACTTTTAGATCCCATAAGGTTATTAATTTCACTAAATGCCCCTGAATTTTTTTAAAAAATTAACAAAAACCCCCCCATCAACCCAACTTGTCAGATTCTGGCAACCACGCGGTGATAGCCGGAATCTGTACAACGACCTAAATTCGACCATAAATGGCGGAATTACACCGATCTGGCCTTTTTCGGCCAGATCCACCACGGATCTGGCTGGAAAAGGCAAATCTAGCCGTCAGCGAGGCCAAAGAAATGGCCGTCGTTGACCAAAAACGACGGCCACATCTTGGCCGTCGCTGACGGCCAAAGATGGCCGTGTTTGGCCTTTACGACCGTCGACGGCCATAACAGGCCGTAGATTGGCATTTTCGGCCAGATCCATGGTGGATTTGGCCGGAAGCCATAATGATGCGTTGCGGCACGATCCGATCGGTCTGTGCTGTAACAAAATTTTCAGCCAGATTCCGGCGGTGGCGGCCGGAATCTGACACTGAGGTGGTAGGGGGTTTTGTCATTTATATAGTAGGTCTTTAATTAAATTAGTAAACCTAAGGGCTTTTTCATAAATTTTTCAAATTTACCTCGTATACTCCCCTATCCAACAATCCAATACTATCCTCAAAATCCTATCCAAAATACTACACCAAACGCACCCTCATTTTCACATCACTCCTTAAAATCCACTAAACAAACAATAGTTGTAATGAAACTGAGAAAATGAGAAATTAAGGTATAAAGGTCAACTGTTTTGTGGGTAGAATTAAAGGAAATAATTTCTGTTTTATTATATTTAATCGATGAAATGGATTTTGATTTTTGCAACTACAATGCGTAAGTACGATTATCGTGATTGACATTGACTGACTGTCCCAAAGCAGTAAAAAATGTAATAGAAACCAGAGGCACAGCACAGCGCCACACCGCACGGTCCGCACCTACTGGTCTTATTTATTCAATTCCAAATAGAGTTCTTTTCACTTCCTAATCACCATCCAACGCTCCCAAGTCAACATCATTCACGTCTCCAATTAATACCAACGGTCAAGATTGCAGAGAACACAATTTTCGTTTCCCGGTCGCTCCATTTGATAACACACTCAAAGTTCGATTCGGATTCAACATCGAAACTCAAAGACCACCAGTTGATGAGCCGGTAAGCTTCTGTTGTTAATTCTTGTACCCATTCGAGTTAGTTTCTGGGTTTTCTTCATAACGACGCCTGAAAAAAAAGAGGAGCTTACAGAGATAGTTTTCGACTTTAGTTGGTGAAATTTGATTTGGGTTAAATTTGAGGTGTGGGATTTTGTGATTACCCAGATGGGATCTGGAGATGAAGTCGTAGAAATTGAGAATCTGGAGAGGGGTTTGTTATCTGATAAAGACATAGAAAAAGCTGAGGACGATAATAGTGATACTGTCTTGTATACGGCGTCGTTTCGGGAGAAAGAAGACAATTTTGTGAAATATCAAACTGCTCGATGGGTATTATATTCATTGCTTTTGATATTGGCTTGGGGTATTGGTTTGTTCATGCTGTTGTATTTACCTGTAAGGAGATATATACTACGGAAAGATATCCGCTCCAGAAAGCTCTATCTCACTCCAAATGCCATTGTATATAAAGTAAATTCACTACACTTCTTTCACTTTTTATGTTTTCATTTGTTGCTTTTACTGATATTTTGGGTTGCATTTAAAGTTCTATGATTCAAAGGTGTAGTTTGCTAATCATTTTATAATTTGAGGCCGACTGTATGTTACTTATAAATTAACAATTTGGACGGGAATTTATAAAATAGTTTGAAGCTGTAAACATATTGTTCAATTGTATGTTAATTCCTTTGATGTCATGCCAAGTTATGTATGTATGTCTTCTGTTGGATAATACTTTTTTTCTTTAGCTCAGGTTACCAGGCCGGTGCCATTTCCATGTTTTGGTGAATTAAAGAAAGAGAAGCATGTTTTGTTGCCTTCAGTTAGGGACATTGTGATTGAACAAGGTAAAAGCTTTGGTGTGATTTTTTTAATCTACGATATTTGTGGCGTGATTGTTGCTATGCTATTCTTTGAGTTTATAAAGGGCTCGACCAGGGTTTAATTTTACCATTTGATATCAAGGATAGATCAAACATTCTGAAGGATCGGTTGCATAAGTTACGTTGCTGTAGTTATATGCTATTATCGAGTTCAGTAATACAGTATACTTAGAGATTGAGTACCCTAACAACAATCGTACTTGTATTCACTATTGTACTTCAGTTTGTCCAAAACAACAACCTTGTAGCAAAGTTCGCTAAAATGTTGTTGAAACATTGTCTTGCCTCTCACCAAAGCCAAGAAAAGCTAAGACTGGGTACATTTGGGCCATCTGGAGATGTTCTCTCCCACCTGTTTTTGCTCTTGTTTAAAGTCTTGTTGAGTAAAGATATTTCCTCATTGATGTTGAAATATTTTCGTCTTACCAATAGTTTAGAGTTTATCTCTATTTTATATCAGCTGATTTCAGTAAACTTTAAAATACTTGTATTACCCTCAGGCTATTTGCAGTCTTTGTTTGGTGTATACTCTCTTAGAATAGAAAATGTTGGTGTAAGAAGGCCTCCAAGTGATGATGTTCAAATCCAAGGCATAGCAAATCCAAGTGCTTTCAGAAAGGTACTCTGTTGTCATCATAATTATTATTGGTAATTTTGAAGAAGAAAAAATAATATTTATGTATTCCTCCATGCCTATTTAGGCTGTTTTGACGCGTCTTTCAAATATGAGGAGTGAGGTGTTCTCTAGGCAAGCTTCTGCAATTGAAGACATTCCAAAGACAAGTTATTCATCGTTAGGGGTATGCCAAAATATCATTTCTCCCATGCATTTTCCTTTTCTGTTTTTCATGTGCCTGACATCGCTTTGTTGGCACTAACTATTAGTGGAGCTAATTTGAGTTTGTATATTGTAAGTTTAGGTTCACTTCAAAATGTTCTGCACAAGTAGGACAAGGGTAAATGTAGCCAGTCCACTAGGATCATTTTGTATATTACCAATATTTAGCCTTCTTAATATGCGGTGCAATAGGGAATTTTGTTTTCTTCAAGTTCTTTCTTTTTGTACACTCACTTGTCATGCGTATAATTTGTTTACTTTTGCCATTGCAGAAGTCCCCATCAAAATCTGTAAGGCATGATGTAAGTCCTTATTCAGGAGATGTAGCACTACTACAAAAACTTGAGGAGGTTGAAAGTTCTGTAAAGGTAAACCAGGACAGCAGTTTTATCTTTTTTTTCTGGATTTGTTGCACTCTTAATCATATTCATGTCTGGTGATTGGTACAGAGAGTTCAAACCTTAATGGAGGAACAACAATGTCAAACATCACAATCTGTTAGTTAAGGTGAGTGTGTACTTTACTGTATTAATTTCCTGGCTTGTTCTGTGTGTTTTATTGTACATCTCTTTTGGTGCCAAGTGGTAATTTATCTGGACATGTAATCAGCACAAATATTAACTAATTTTTTCTAGTATAATTTTTCAAATTCATTCACCATGTGAACAATTCTGGGTTCTTGTTTCTTTTCTTCATTTCGATGTCTCCGTTACCTGTATTGTTCACTCTGGACTTTCCGATCAACAGGCAGGTTTCTCAAATTAGAAATTTTAAATCAAACTGCATACAACTTTTTAACTCCTAACCATCTAATGTGTCCGATATTATCTGTCACTCCGTAACAAATAATTTACATAAGTTTTATTGTCCATTTTATTATGTACACTGTCTGGCTATTATATTGATGATTCTTATAAAATGTAATTTAGGCAGCACAGTGATCTGCAAAACCAGTGAACCTTAACTTATGGCATTTAACATTACCTTTTTGGAAGTGAAATTAAGGAAATGCTGCTGCACATGATCAAGCGCACATACATAAGAGAAAAACTGTCTTACGTTTAAGAGCCAAACAAGTTTCAAAATCATGTAGTTATTAATGAAAGGGGGAACAAAGGTCCTAGAATATGAATGTTTTATCAGAAAATTCAATGAGCTCAAGCTTCTCCGTATTAATAAATTTGTTAAAGAAAGTTTCCTTACCTGAGACTGAACAACCCCTTTTCATTCCAATTTCAATGCAGTAAAGTTGTGTATATATGCATGTATGTACATTTTTTTTTTTTTTTTTTACCATCAATCAAATGTAAACCTTTAGATATAAACATAATAAATGTGTTAGATGTGATGAAATGAACTAGTGAGAGAAATGATGCAAATTGATTATAAGTTTACAAAATTTAATGACAAACTATAGTAGGAATTTTCTCAAGAGATATGCAAAAAGAAAAAGAAATACAAAATATGAATCAGAGAAAGAAATAAAGCATTAACTATAGAAGAAAATGTTTATTAAACAGATTGCAGGAATACCCTTTGGTCGATTAAGTCAAAGTCAAAGAGTGTGATGGAAATTGTGGTTGATAGGAAAAGTATGAGTGGTGGTTCTTAAGATTTGTTTAAAACAATTAACATCCAACTTTATTTAATAAATTATTCTATATTCAAACATATTGTTCTTCTCTTTTACAAGACAAGACAATACAATAAAAGAAGCTTTGTTAACATATGATATTTAATTAAGTGGTATATATACGATTTGAGTTTTGTTAATGTGTTTAAAAAATGAGGTGGTGCTTTATTGATGGATAAAGATAAGAAACAACTGAGTTGATAATCTAACCTTATTGTTGCGATTGATGGAGAGGTTGAAGGAAGCAAGTGTGTTTGATTAATGTGGGTATTAAAAGCACCAAGTCTTCAGTATTAAAGCTTATATGAATACGAAAATGGTAAAAGTTGGCATTTAATTAGCGGATTTGATTTTCAAATAAAATATTAAGTGTAAATAGGTGGGGCAAACCCAAATTGGAGCATTAGATGATCCAATGGCTGTTACTAGGTGTTGGTTGGGTTGTTTTAAAAGCCTACTGCTCTCTCAGTCATTCTTTTGTTGTTACAATATAATTAAACAAAAGAGGGACACTATTTCCGCACAATCTATATGTCAAATTCAAGTAATTAATTAGCATATTATCATAATTAAACTATATAATATATTAAAGAGAATAAGGGTTTGAGTAGAAAGAAATGTGAGAGTTGTTAGAATAGGTTTTATAGTAGAGAGGTGTAGTTAATGTGAAAAGGAAAAATGAGGGATTAGGCATACCCATATTGACTTTCTCAAATGCTTTCCTTGTGTTTCTTTGGTTGCTTATTTTCCTCAATATATATATATATATATGAAGCACACCACGTTACCACTTTCAATTTCCAATCATAATTTTTGCAAGGAATCTGATGGTAATAACCATTTCGAAAACATCTAAGTAGACAGTGATTTTATTGCTGAAATAACCAATGATTATGAAGTTAATATGTTCATGGTTTCTGAAACAAGTTTGGTTAAAATAATGAATTTCAACATTTCATATCGAATATTCCAAAGTTTATGCTTTATGGAATGGAATTTCAATATAGTACATTCTACCCCTATTCAATCCAATATATACATCTCTCTCTCCCTATCATCTACACCTTTGTATGTTTGCTTGGGTGTGCCTTTTTTTTCTTTTTTTTAATCGGAGATATATAGGTCAATTTGTACGTATTTTATCATCAAATCATCCAATAATGGTTGTGACTTTTGTATTCTTTATTTTTTTCCATGTAAACTAATACTTAAAAAGGTGCTAAACCTTATTCAAAGTAAGTCAATTTATAAGCTACTTAATATAGTATAAATATTATATTATAAGTATTAACGTTGTTGTCTTTGTCAAGTAAACCAAAAAATAATTAAATTAATGTTCACGTATTATGCATTTCATGGTTGGCCAACTTGATCTGGATCCACAGTGTATGATTACAAACAAGAACAAATTATAATTTCATCCAATAATGGTTTAAGTTGGTTGGGAGAGTAGATGAACTCCAAATCTGGAAACCTTTTTCATTTTGTCAACAAAAATGAATATCAATCATGGAATTTTGATTTTGCTCAAAAATATTTCTACTCCAAAATTATTGGGATTCATGTCAACGTTCTAGAGGGAACATGTTAACATTATTATTATTATTATTATTATTATTTTTAAGTAGTAATTTTATAAAGAATAAAGAATAATACTTAAAAGTCAAAGGCCTCGAACACCATAACTCGCGCACAAAAACACACAAGATATATAGGTATAAATACAACAAAGAAAAACTAGGATGAACAAATCCTATACCAAGCATCCATACCAGAAGATGTTAACATGTTTTGGTTGAGTTGATTACAATTTAAAGATTTGATTTTGGATTTCGCTTTTCGTTTTGACTGTTTCATGATCTTCCTGCAACTTAAAAAACCCCCACCATCCTGCTTGTATTTTAAAAACATGCATCTAATTGTTGCTTAATAAAAATGATTAAGGCACGTATATTTAAATAAAAACTATCTACATACTGCAATTCCAATCGCCAAGTCCAACTACATAATTCAATTAATTTAATTCTAGTTAAAATATTACAATCTCATTAGAGTGGCTTATTTTTCACATCTCTACAACTTTTAATCATATATTATATATGATCAATACTACACTCATAATTTTTTTATACAAACTTATGTGACAAAAGATGATTGAGTGAAAGTTTATATTAAATTTAAAATCACTCAATTATCTTTTACCACATAAATTTATGAGAGAAAGTTTGTACAAAAAGATTATGGGTGTAATATTATTAATTATGCATATATTGCATCGATAACGTGACATCAAATTGTTTTTTATTATATCATATTAATAATGTTAATAATGGGAATATATATATATATAACGTTTTTCTTACTTAAAAGTTATGGAAGAAAAAAAAATCTTCATAAATATCCATTATAATTACTGGATAAACCATTGTTGAAACAATCCGGCTCCTCCTATACACAATTGTTTTCGCATTATATTTAATTTAATATTAAGTCATATGATACAAGATATACATCCTACCCTATTATACCACACATTACATAGACAATTAATCAAATATCTTATATATAGAACATGTTAAAATGTTCATATACAAGGCACAATACTTTTTTTTTTCAATTCTTATTTATATTTAGAATCCACAATTAAGTGAATGTTCGAGATTGTTGTAATCTATTTAATCACTTCAATTCTAATAAAATACCATAAGTATTTATAAAAAGATTTTGAAAATTTTCTGAATTCTTTTCGAGTTGAATTTCTACATATGGAATGTCAAATATGCCCTTATATATGAATACAAATATTACTTTCACATCATCAATCAACTTAAATATATAAACATTATAATTAAATCCTTATAAACTTTAATATTAAACATTTACCCACTATTACATATCATATTAACCTTTTATTCCCAAAAATGTCATACCTCTTCTATTTCCTACGCAAAGGATTAAAAGTATAATTAAATTTGGGCATCTTCAATCCCCAATATTATATTCTTCAAATTAAAAAACAAATATAATCAATTTTTGGGAGAGCATCAATAGACTATATTCCTCTTTTATTACTTGCACAAATAAATACCCTAATCAATTAATTTGGGGCAATTTCAAGGGACTTAGGAAGTTTACTTGGTAAGGTTCTCGACCGAAAGGAAGAATAAAAATAAGCGAGATAAAGAAGGACTCTAGTGTATAAAGTGAGTCTGGAGAAAGAGCTAAAGGTAGAGCGGAACGAGGGAAAGTAGTCACACTTTAATTGAAATTCTACGTCATTATTATTATCCAACTCTTACCTTTTTTTTTTTGTTTTAAATAATATCCAAAATATTAAAATAACCGCACCCTTGGAGTCACCCTCGAGATATTTTGGTAGAAATAGGGTAATTACGTGTCAAGATTTGAAATGAAAAACTGAAGTTAAAAATATAAAAGAGTAATAAATGCATGCGTTGAAAACTGGTGGTTACTGAAGGAATACGGAGTATAGGGTTGATATATTAAAATATTAAATAAGTAAATATATAACATATGGAGGGAATAAGCAGCAGTCACGTGCCGTGTGAGTAATTAATCGGCTACTGGGTTTCTAATATTTAAATTTATATTTCTGTTCAGGTGTCGGTACTTCGTTAATGTTACTTTACTTTTCCTCTGCATCAAACAAACACTTCCGTTTTATAATAACCCCTAGACCCCTTGAAAATGTTGAAAAACCAGTGGCCCCCACGAAATCCCAAGATAGCCACTTAGACCCCCTACTCTTTTTTTTTTGACCTTGGAAGTGTAAATAATTAATCTATAAGGACGTGGTTCGGGTTGTTTTAGTGCCAATTCAACTACTAATAACTTGAAATGTCGATTTTACTTTTTTTTTTTTCATGTATTTTAATCAACAATAAAAGGTTTAAGTAGCTATTTTGGAAGTTGATGAGCCTCATAATTTTGGATCTTTCAGGTGCGAGTGGTTCTAGCCCTTTAAAATAAAAAAAAAAAGAGCAAACGGCATGTTCCCAC